TCTGGCCGACATATAGAAAATGGACTAAAAGGGGATATGTGAGGCAAGGAGCAAGACCTATTAGACAATTATGACAACAGTGAGGAATTATGAGCCATTGACTTAAATCAGTCATAATATGGATGAAGAGCAGGGAATAGAGTAAAGAAATATTTGGGAGATAAAAGAAATTTAAGATGTCGATTCATTGGATGTGAGAATAATGAAGAAAAGGGGTTTTAGAATGATTTTCATGTTTCTAATTTGGGAGATTGGATAAATGGTTGTGCCAGTCACTGAGACAGGAATTACAAGAAGAGGTAAAGATGTAGAGTGAAAAAGGAGGAATTTGACATGTGGCAATTGAGAAGTCAAAAAGAGATGACCGGTAGAAAATTGAATATATGGGACTAGATTAGAAGTTAGATATTTTTGAGTTAATAATGTAAATAGGTGATTGCAGACATTTTTTTTTAATATATTTTATTGATTTTTTACAGAGAGGAAGGGAGAGAGAGATAGAGAGTTAGAAACATCGATGGGAGAGAAACATCGATCAGCCACCTCCTGCACACTCCCACTGGGGATGTGCCCGCAACCCAGGTACATGCCCTTGACCGGAATCGAACCTGGGACCTTTCAGTCCGCAGGCCGACGCTCTATCCACTGAGCCAAACCGGTCTCGGCGATTGCAGACATTTAATGATGGTGAAATCAACCAGGTGAAATAGGTCCTATGAGAAGAGAAAGGGGCACAAGGTAATCCTGAGTAATATCAACATGTAAGTTTTGGCTGAAGAAAAAGAGGAACATAAAGTAGACTGAGAAGGAAGAAACAGGCTTAGGGGAGAAACTAAAGAATGAAAAGATTAATTGGCTTAGTTCCATATTGAGAATGTGTAGTTCATATGGCTGAAAGATGTTAATGGTGACTTTGGGAAGGACATTTTGGTGAAGTGATGGAACAAAATAGAGGGGTTAAATAAGGGATTAAAGGCCACTCTTTTCAGTGATTAGGGTAAAAAAGGAAGGATAGAATTCAGTCATCATCTGGAGTAAGATGACAAGGTAAATAATATGGCCTGCTACATGTCTACTGGTCTGAGTGACTTAAGATAGGGACTAACTAAGATCAATGGGAATCAAGGAACTGCAGGACTAGGGCTTAAATACAGCATCTGCACTCACCTTGAAGTCGCTGAAGGTGATAAAACTTAGGGTGTAAAGAAAAAATTAGCCAAATGCCGCAGTCCTTTACAAATATAAAGCAATGAGACAGAAGTCAGAAAACCGAATGGACAAGTAGGCAGTCCATTTTTACAGCATGGTTACAAAGAGGAGGGTTTTTTATTCATGGAGCAAAGATGTAATTTTAAGAAATGCCACTCCTTTTCTTTCTAAATTTATAGTGTATGAACTGATATAATCAGGAAGAATGATGTCATCTGGAGATTGGACAAGGCTCTGGGGAGTGGTTGAGGATGTTGGAAATGTCCTTACTTTATATTGAAGTCAGTAAGAAGAATGGTGGCAAGGTCAGGGACAGAGGGAAGCAGTGGGGAAATAATTGGAGAAAGATAAGAAGTGCAGAAAAGTATTGGGAGGAGAATGTGGGATGAGAGAGAGAGATTATTAGGATGATTTTAACATGAGGTGTGACCAACAATGATATGGATGGAGGCCTAAAGGGTTCAAAGTTTCAAGTGACACTCAAGTCAAAGTGTCAAAAATTCTTGTGCAGGTCTGAGGCCCAAAGATTCAGAAGATCTGGCCTGCTCGGTGGTGACCTTGGATTAATGATGCTGGCAGTCTTTGTTATGCATAGAGTTAAACACAGAATATTGTTGGGCACTGTGGTTCTGAGGAAGTCTCAGGTGGATGGAACTAATCAGTTCCCACATTTTGTAAGTTTGACACAGCAACAGTTTTAGGTGGCTGAAGGAAGATTAGGTAAATCTCTAGATGGAGGCAGATATGACCTAAATTGTTGCAAATACCTTCTTTTTTAAAAAACATCGAAAGCATCCACATTTATGCAAGGAATCAGCTCAAAGAGCTGGCAGAAGTTTCTAAGTAGGTAATGATCAATAACTTCTTTATTTTTTATTTTATTTTTAAAATTCATTTTACAAATATTTATTGAGGACATACTATCAACCAGGCGGGTTCACTAACTTCTTTAGAGGGTCTTTATTCACTCATTCCTTTATTCACAAGGTCAGTCATTTCACTCAATCGTACATTGAGTCATTGATTGCCAATGACTACAGACGTATTCAACTTCAGAAATAACTTTCTACTGACACAGTGTTCAGTTATTCCTAAATATTTAGGACTTTCAGGGGTGTTGGTGAAATGTAGGAAATCTGAGGAAGCAATCACAGTAATCTGCTACTTAAACAGACTCTGTGTTTTTTAAATTACAAGATTACAAACTCCTAAATAACCCCTTCACTCAAGCATTGTAATTTAGGCATTATAATTTAACAGAATATTTACTTGATGATCTTATATGTTATTAAAAAATGACATGTTTTATGCTTATTTTGTTGTTGGAACACTTTGCAATCAGTACAGGTGGCTAAAAGCAGTTATGTATTCTAGATATCCTTTTAACCTATCATCAGCTTCAGATCTAGAAAAAAGTCAAATCAATCTTTTTTTTTCTTTTCTTTTTGCCATGTGGAAGGACAAGTCCCAATCTAGATTTCTGCGTTTCTGTGAGAAGGAGACATATTATTGAGGTTATTGCTGGCTTAGTGTAAACATAAACATGGGACTTAAAATTTTTGCCTTAATTCCCTGCTTTTATCCAACCACAAATACCAGTTTGTGGGATGTAGCAAAATTTAGCCCAGAGGTATGCAGGCCCTGGGAAGAGGGATACATCAAACATTACACACCTAACAATGGAAATCGTACGTTAAACATCCCTGTTCTTATAAATTCTTTTGGCCACACAAGGGAAACCTATGGCCCTTCCCCCAGCTTTCTGCTTTCTTAATGTTACCTTTCCCCTTAACTTTAAATTTTCCTTAATCCTCTGCCCACTTTTCCCCCCAAGAAAATTAAATCAAAGCAAGATAAACAAGCAGGTTGTTTCTAGTTCATGGAAAATAACTTAGTTCTCTGTTGTTTTTTGAGATACAATTTCTAAATCTCATCTCTTTTCTATAATAATTTATCAAAACCGTTTCTTAAAGAATAGTTTTTTTTTTTTTTTTTTGAAAAGACTACTGGTACTAGCTGTTTAGAAAATATATAAACACACCACCTATCACATTTGCATTTGGTTTTACAAATCCTAAGTACTCTAGCCCACCTCTTAATGAGTGTGCATGAACACTTTTCACGCAGCATTATATTAATAAGGAAAATGAATCTGCACAATTTTGATTTGTCTTTACAGAAACTCCCCTGGATGTTACTTTAATTTATTCTTATTCCTATTAGCATTATTCTGTTCTCTGGAAAAATTATTAGAACGTTTTTTCATTGATACTGGCAATATATAAAGTTGTGTTTATGCATTGACAAATATACATTGAACAGCTACTGTCTGCTATGCTTTAGGGAAATGGAATCAATTGACAGGTATGGAGACCAAGGAGTAGCCAGAACCAACACCAAAGCAAGTGCAAGAACAGTGTGGCTGGCACTTTCAATTAGTAGCTATTGAATTGAATGAGGCAAAATGGTTCTCCTGAAGGGTCTTCATATCTTTCAAATGTGATCATTATATGCTTTTAACTAGCTGATATAGCTCCAAAATTGGCTTTGCCGGGTATATCAGGAAATTCTGCACTAGGTGGTAATCTTGTTTGCTTAGCAATTGAGCTCTTTATGGAACTAAATGTTTTAACTTAAATGTTTTTAACTTAAACATAAATGTTTTAAAGGTACATTTCCTAGCTTTGTAGCATTTCCTCAGATTGGAGTCGAGTCCAGATATCTTTTTTTTAGTAAAGTCAAATTTAAATTTTGTTTTCAGCAAAATTGTTTTATAAGAAATATAGAAAATTAAGCATATACTACTGTAACTAATATAGAAATAAAACTATAAGAAATGTAACTTCTTGCCCTAGTCAGTTTGGCTCAGTGGACAGAGAGTCGGCCTGGGGACTGAAGGGTCCTGGGTTCCATTCCGGTCAAGGGCACATGCCTGGGGTGTACGCTCAATCCTCAATTAGGGGGCATGCAGGAGGCAGCTGATCAATGATTCTCATCATTGATGTTTCTATCTCTCTTTCCCTCTCCCTTCCTCTCTGAGATCAATAAAAACATATTTAAAAAAAAAAGAAAAGAAGAAATGTAACTTCTTAACTTTACATCACTAATTCACTCAGATTTAAGTGAAAGATATCTTTAGAAGTATGACTAAAAACCAAAGCAAAACCCTGTTTTAGGTTATTTAATTGCCTGTGACAATCTTTCTAGCTAAACAAATTTTTCCACAGTTAGGTACAATTACATGGAATACCTTCTCATTGGATCAGAAAATTCATCACCTCCCTCCCTTCCTCTCTTCCTCCCTTCCTCCCTTCCTCCCTTGTTTCCTTCCTTCCTTCCTTCCTTCCTTCTTCCTTCCTTCCTTCCTTCCTTCCTTCCTTCCTCCCTTTCTTCCTCCTTTCTTCTTCTTCCTTCCTTCCTTCCTTCCTTCCTTCCTTCCTTCCTTCCTTCCTTCCTCCCTTTCTTCCTTCCTTCTTCTCCTTCCTTCCTTCCTTCCTTCCTTCCTTCCTTCCTTCCTTCCTTCCTTCCTTCCTTCCTTCCTTCTTCCTTCCTTCTCCTCCCTTCTTCCTTCCTTCCTTCCTTCCTTCCTTCCTTCCTTCCTTCCTTCCTTCCTTCCTTCCTTCCTTCCTTCCTTCCTTCCTTCCTCTCTTTCTGCCTGTCCCTCTCTCTTTTTCTTTCTTCATGACTACTCCTTCCAGGGAGGTAGATAAGGTCATGAAATCAGCTGTCAGCCTTCATTTTGACTCATCATATACTTAATACACACTCTAGGGACTGTTAATGAGGAAAAGTATCTTTCTGTTCCCACTTAATCAGATTCAATTCAATTCATTCAACAAATATTTTATTAAGCACCTACAATATGCCAGGCACTGTGCTGGGTGCTGGGGATACAACTGTGAACAAGATAGACACAGTCCCTGCCCTCAAGGAGCTTACAGTCTAGTAGTTATACAGACAAGTACACAGGCAATTACAATGCAGTATGGTAAGTGCATTGATGGGGAGAAAACATTAAAAGGGCACCTAACTCAGTCTCGTAGGCAGGGGATGGTGGATGGAAATCTTCCCAGGGCAGGTAAAATTTGAGTACTGAAGGGTGAGTACAAGTTAGTCAGGAAGAGAGGAGATAGGAAAGAGTTATAGACTGAAGAAGTAGTAAATACAGTGTCCCATGTGCTGCTTTTGAGGTTCATTTGCAGCAAGGAGAGGTTGGGTAGGGATGAGAGAAGTCATGAAAAGATACATAAGGACCAGGTCATAAAGGGTCTCATTTGCTCTGCTCAAGAGCTTGGAATTTTTCCTGAGGGAACTGTGTGTGTGTGTGTGTGTGTGTGTGTGTGTGTGTGTGTTGTTAACAAATTTGAACTTTTACCAATTGCTCTTACTGCAGCACAGAGATTGAAAGGGGGATAGGAATCTTGAGCGCTGAGGCAAGATAATCAATCCTTTATGTTTTCCAACGTTTTTTCCAGGATATCACCCCTGTATTCTCTCCAGTCCATTCAGTTGCATCCAGTCCTTAAGCCATTGCCATGCACAGCTTTGGGGCACTGTTCATCCCTAAGGCTTTTAGCACCTTCTCCACCTATGAAAACTCAACTTATCCCCCAAAGCCAGACTTCCAAAATAATCCTAACTTGTGCTTTCGGTCAAGTATTGTGATCTCTAAGTATTGTGATGTTTATCTGTATTATAATACGTATTTATTATTTCAAAAGATTCAAACCTTCTTTGGATCCATGTTAATCCATTCACAACATAAGGTGAATTTGTAAATAAACATGGATATAATTTCTTCACACTTTTCAGTTGAAAACAAGGGCTGAGTCTTCATTTGTAGTCTACCACAAACTATTATCAGTGCCTTCAAATGATTTAAATGGAATAATGAGAATGGGGGAGAAGCCCAAAGAGACATTATTTTATGCAGCAAAATACAGTCAAGTAAAATTTCAACACACAATTACAGGGTTTGTTGCTATTTTGACAATGATTCATTTCCCAATTCAAACACTCCATCTTGGACATTAACCTGCTGACGAGGCAACCACCTGTAAAGGAAGCTAGCTTAGTAAGCAAAAATTAGAAGGGCTAGCTATAGTTTCCAATATGGCCCACACTTTACAGTCTTAAAATTTCTCAAATAACTTGTATAACGATAAGAGAAAAAAACCTTGTTGATACTGTAAGAATGCCTGTTGTTTTATTCTTTTTAGTGGGTACAAAAACCACAATTTTGTACACAGAACAAGAGTATAAACAGTATTGATACCATGAGTGACCCCTAGTCTCTTGGTTCTACATTGCAGACTGACGATTTTATGTTAACGTCGTCTTCCTTTTGTTCCGGGTATTGAGACAAATGCAATCTGTGGGTACCGGTTCATGTGACGAAGTGAAGGTTACAGCAAACAAGATGACCGACAACTTTTATTTAAAAAAAAAAAGTCTCTAGAGTTTATTACAGTGATGGCATTTATATCAATTATTGCAATGTACTGTTCCCTAAGATGGTTAGAAAAAAGAATCGTATTGTCCTCTACTGAATTTACATCATTTAAAAAGCAAGCATGGTTCAGTATTTTTCTCCAAAGTAAATGTAAATACTTCCTTTAATTTTTTTTTTTCTCTCACAGGATTTACATGTGTGTTTATGATGTTTTTTTTTTAAATCACAGTTTAGTGATGTGTTTTCTCAGCTGGACAGTCTTCGGTTGATTAGATGGGTGCTCGGGCGACAGTTAGCGTGGTGGTTGACTTCTACAACTAGCTCATCCCTTGCTGCCAAGGCCGAGGCCCTTGTGAGCAAGAGCCGCAGAGTTGATGCGCTAACTCGCAAGTCTGATTAGTTGTTAAGTCCGCTGGAGTGAAATTGGTTGCTGTTAATACGCCCGTCCCAGCTCCCCCCACCCACGTCCCGAGAAAACCTAAGGGGTGAGTTTTCCTGATAGAAAATCGGAGTTTGGGTTCCGGAGCTGAGCTCATGCACACGTCGCTGCTGCTGCTGCTGCCGCCGCCGCCCGGCGCTCTCAGCCGAAGGGTCGGGCCAGCCAGGACCGCGCGGGCCTGTTCCCCGGGCTGCGTTCCCGTCGGTCACCAACACAGTTTAATTAAGGCACTCAATTATTTTTTTGGTTTTTATGGTAGGTCCGATGCAATGACAGCCAATCCCGAACTCTGTCTGATTGCAGTTCCAGCGTGGACGGCCTTCGGGCAGTCGGGCGTCAGGACGCGGCCGTTCTCCCCCACACTCCCCGTGATGGATAATCGGGCCTTGTTTCTTATGGCTTCAGAAAAGGTCAGCTGGGGGCATGGAAAGGAAACAGAGAGAAGGTGGGGCGTTACACTACGTCTGCTTCTTCACCAAGTTAGGACACAGCACACACCAAGAGATCAATAGTAGACATCTGCATTTTTCCCCGTATTCTTTTGGTCGTGTGAACCCTGGTCATCAGGAGAGAGAGAAGGTCAGCGGTGGGGAGGAATGAATCCGCTCAGAGTTTGTGGTCCTACCTGTTCCAGATCTCATTCAAAAACCACCAAAGGAGGTTTTGTGTAGAAAATCTGGGGAGGACACGTCTTTTCACCTGCTGCACCCTCCACCCTAGTCCTTCTTCAAAGCTCCTTTAAGATTTTACGCCATTCTTTGAGTCTTTTTGTCTTTACAGGGATTTGTAAAGTCCTTTGCAAGGATTGTACTCTTAAAATGGTGATGAATCGTCTAAACAGACTATATACATAGAGTGTTCATGACAGGTCTTCCTGTGTTCAGAACACAGACCTAGCCACAGACACTTGCATTCGTTCACACCAGTTACAGACATGACCCAGAACAGCACAGTTAGTGACATAAAGTTCGTTCTATGTCTCACATGGAAGCTAAGGCTCATTAAGAAGCTGTAAGTGCTCAAAGGGGTCACACTGCACAGGGCATCTTTCAGTCCATCATGATGGTCATCACTGGGGAGCTTCCCAGATGGAGGTTATGGGGTCAGGTCCCTGGAATCCTCATCAAGTTCTTGTTCTCTGTCACATTAGGTAGCAGGTAGTAACCTTACACAGTGGAGATACAGGTGGGATTATGTAAATCTACTTACTGTTCATTCTTTGCCTTTAAATTCTTTCTAGAGCTGAATTTTAATGTTAGCTCAAGAGGAAAGTAAGCTAAACAAGATATTCCCTAAATTTGTTATGGTTGAGATCATAACTTTCTCATAACATATACTGTATCTCAATTCCATATTGTGAATCTAAGTTAACCTTATTTGTTAGGCAATTCCATCCTGAATTTATTCTGCCATGAAATTTAAATATTTGAATAATTATTGATTAAATAATGAAATTAGTAACTGGAGTAAAACTGTTATGATGAAAAGGTTTGGAGATCAGGCCCCTATAATGTTAGAAAGTTGAAGTCAAATTGCTAGGTAATGACACATTTATTATAAAAATCAGATCATTATCATAGTTCTGCTTTAGTGAACAACTAAAATATTAATACTTATTTTAATAATCAGAGGTCAGCATACAATCTCTACAGAAACCCTAATCATCATTAAATGAAAATAAACCAAGACCAAAGTCTGATTTTGCTTCTTCAGATTCCCTTTCAACATTTAATATTTAGTAAAGTAGATAATTATTTTTTAAAAATTAGCAGTTTTGTTTTGTTTTATTTTAATTTTTTTGAAAAAGAAATACTAATATACAATTAATAAATGCAGTGTGATTTTAAAAAAATATGTATATATTTTTTTATTTCAGAGAGGAAGGGAGAGTGAGAGAGAGACAAAACATCGACGATAAGATGGAATCATTGATCGCTGCCTCCTGCACACCCCATACTGGGAATCAAGCCCGCACCCGGGGCATGCGCCCTGACAGGCAATCAAACCGTAAACTCCTGGTTCATAGGTCAATGCCCAACCACTGAGCCGTGCCCACCGGGCAAGCAGTGTGATTTTTTGAAGGAATTTTTGCAGAAGGCTTTTGCCATAAAATCTGTTTTTGTTTCTTTTCCCTTCTCATTTGCCTTTGGAAATATCCAAAGCAGGAAAGATTCCACATGGTTGTGAGCACTCTCTCCTTCTCTATAGATTGATTCAACCAAGTGTATTAGTTGTCAACTCCTTAATCGTTGTCAACTCCTTAACTTCTCTTTACATCTCAGCATTCTTAGTTCTCAGCATCCTATAGTTATATTTTTCAATTCTTCCTTAAAAATTCATTTCTATTCATCTTGGTGTGAACCTACTGAGGCTGCTCAAACTGAAAAACTTTCTTGCTGAGACCGGTTTGGCTCAGTGGATAGAGCGTCGGCCTGCGGACTGAAAGGTCCCAGGTTCGATTCCGGTCGGGGGCATGTACCTGGGTTGCGGGCATATCCCCAGTAGGAGATGTGCAGGAGGCAGCTGATCGATGTTTCTCTCTCATCGATGTTTCAAACTCTCTATCTCTCTCCCTTCCTCTCTGTGAAAAATCAGTAAAATATATTTAAAAAAAAAAAAGAAGAAAAATTTTCTTAAAAATTTCCATATGTTCTGCTCCTGGTTGGTTTGTTGTGACTAATGGTTATGACCTTAATTGTAAATATTCTCCTGAGGGATGGTCACTTTTAAAGTTGAACCCTACCATATATTGAAGGTTTTAGGTTGTGTTTTTGAGATTCTGGGACAATATTATCTAAATTATCAAATATTTGCATAATTATGGCCAATAGAGTTTTTAAAAGGAAAAAGCCATTTAATATGGGAGTGTAACAAAAACAATTTACTTTTAAGGCTTCTCTATAAGTGCAGATCATTTCATTTACCCTGAGTTCTATTAAGTCTTTTGAAAAGTCATGTGGATATGAATGCTTTATTTTTATATGAAATTTATTGTCTTAAAAGTTCAACCCCAGCTCTAAAGGCTATTCATGTGATGAACTGCAATGCCAGGCTCTGACCTAAAAACATTATTACATGTAAATTGTATGTACATAACCTGGGAATTTATATCTCTTTTTAACACCTTCCCAGAACTTTGTAATTAATTGGCACCCACGAGTATTTCTTTCTAGAATTTTCGTTTTGCTTTTTTTGTTAATCCTCACTCGAGGATATTTTCCCATTTATATTTAGAGAGTGTGAAGGAGGGCGAGAGACAAAGAGAGAGAAACATCCATGTGAGAGAGACACATCTATTGGTTGCCTGCCGCATGCACCCCAACCAGGGATGGGATCTGAGGCTGCAACTGAGATACATGCCCTTGACTGAAATTGAACCTGGAACCCTACAGTCCACAGGCCAATGCTCTATCCACAGAGCCAAACCAGCTATGGCTCTAGAACTTTCTAATATTCTTTTTTCTTTGCTTGCTTCTCTGCCTTTGGACCTTGCTGATGGTTGGAATGCTTTTGCTGTGCCGAAGAAAACTCAGTTTTAATAAACTGGTTATAAAATTCATCTCAGAATGAAGTCTAAATAATTGGCTCTGAAAACTTTCAGGTATTCTTTTTCTCAGTTTGAGAAAATTTCTTCTCAATTCTGCAAATATTAAGATGAAAGAATTATAATGGCCCAGACTTTTGATAACATTCTAGCTTGCTGTTTTGCTATTAGAAAACGTGCTGAAAACATTCTGATCTTAGTGAACTGAAGGTTTTGTTCTTAATTCTTTTCCACAAAATTGGGCTTACCCATGTGTAGTTATATCTAGTCATTGATTTCCAGATTGTAGATAAAAGCAATTAGATATTGAGATACAAGTATTTCAATAGCTTTCATATGAATAAATAAATCTTAAAGTCAAGCACATTTACCTGGCATAATCTCAGATGTACATCTTTTTTGTTTTGTTTTGTTATCCTCACCTGAGGGTATTTTTCCATTGATTTTTTAGAGAGAGTGGAAGGGAGGGGGAGAGCCAGAGAGAGAGAGAAACATGGATGTGAGAGACATTGATTGGTTGCCTCCTGCATGCGCTCTGACCAGGGCCAGGGATCCAGTCTGCAACCAAGGTGTGTGGATTCCTTGACTGGAATGGAACCCAGAACCCTTTAGTCTGTGGGCCAATGCTCTATTCACTGAGCTAAACCTGGTAGGGCTCAGATACATCTTACTATAAAAATTGTATTAGGTTTTTGACACCAAGCATGGGATGTCTCTTATGGGTTTAAAGGCTCATTTATTGTTTTAATCAGAATGAGCAGCCTATTCAGTTGGCTATTATATATAATTTTAGAAAATGAGTTTTAGAGACCTGATTTTAGGAAGAGCAATAACAAGGGCTTTTAGATCTTATTTTAAAACCACTTGCAACCATTAGAGGAAAAACATAGTGGACATTTAGATTCTTTAAAAATGACCTCAATTTCCTATATTTCATTGAATACCTACAATTTTTTTTATTGTGGCATGATGAGAGCATATGAGTAAGGGGGGCTGAGCTGGCTTACTTAAAAGCAATTGAAATAAAAAATCCATAACAACTCATGGCAATTCTTATCTTTTGCTGTGTTCCTCCTAAGAAACACATATATTACTGATATCTTTAATGGAGAAACTGCTAAATTGCCTAAAATGGCTGCTCACCTTAGTGATATTGTGAACATACAAGCTGAATTTCATGTAATAAACGTGAATTGTGCTCAGATATCCTGATAACTCCTGCCTCAAGGTCTGGCTCAAGGACTACTGTCAGATGAGCAAACAGTTAGGTTTTACTCTTTAAAAATACACAATATGGCTAGTGTAAAACAAACTAGAATAGGAGCTAAAATTTTTTGAGCATTGACTCTCTGCCTTGGAGCTGTTACATATATTTTTTCTCAGAAAACCTTATTCGGCAGCTGTCGAAGCTTTGGTCATTTGAATTAGGTTTTATGCTTATTTTGTTAACACTTATTTTAAAACTTGTTCCAGAGAAGATTAGCCTAGTCGATGTACAAAGAAACCCCAGATCTAATTTCCAATTTCTCTCAAATTTTGGGTAGAATATACTGTTTGGATCATTTCACAGAGCAATTCTGCTGGTTTGTTTGTGTCTTTCGGACCCTCTCAATGCAGATATCTATTGGCAACATAAAGATTCGAACAGTACATCTGCAGCCAAAGAAAACCAAACCACTTTGCGCTGAAGTTTTAGAAAATATAAAGCTCTAATGAGAAGCAAGCAATACCACCACGGGACAGACAGTCACAACACTGCATTTACAGGATGCATCCCCCACTCACTGTAGTAGGCCCTACGTCCTACCCCTAAATTTTAATACTTTCGGTTCCATATACGTTGTAACCTTCTCTATAGGTTGCTAAATTCTGGGTATTCTGCGAGGAAGTTGGGTTAAAAGTCTGTGCACTCTTTGCCACCTTCATTCTCTTCGCTTCTGCCCTGGACTTGTAACAGAACTCTATCAAAGCCACCAGCATTGCCAAGCCCAGTCCGCCGACCAGAATGTAGAAGACGCCTGCTACGTTGCTCAGGCTCAAGGCACTCGTCTTGTCCTGTGGGAGGATAAACACACTTCAGTTAAGTGTGGAAATGTCACATCTGGAAGGTAAAAGAACACATGAAATCCAAACAGCTAATTAGCATAAATGCTTAATTTAACCCGACATTATTTACATGTATAAATCATTGATGTAGGTTTACAGATTTAAAAATAAAGCTTATAGCTCTCAGAAGTGAAATTATGACGATTACCAATAAATTGGATATAATTACATTCCATAAAATCTTAAACATTTTATCATTATTAACTATGCAGTGAAAACCACTATACTTAATCATAATAAGCATTTATATATTTGCAAAGGGTGGCAGAAGTGGGCTTATTATTAAGTTTGAGAATGACGTGTTTAAAATACAGTTACATGAAAAGGGGTTTCGGTTTTCCTGCCATTAAAACATACTTTTAATGTTTGAGATAGCTCTTGAATAAATCCTACTTCACATTTCCTAATTAAGGAACTAAGCTTTTTTTAAGCTATCAGTTTCACAATTTGTTCATCATTACTTTACAAAATATATACAGATAATGTGCTAGGGTACACATTATTTGTTTTTTCAGTCACATCTGTGGGAAATCATATGGAAAGTATAACTTTTACATTCTGCCTATTTATGAATAATTATAGATATATGTATACATATCACAGGTGACTTTTTGAAAAGATAACTTTTTAAAAATACACAAATTACTATGGTCAATTGAGAAATAAATTATGTATGGGCAAACTGATATAACTATTTTTATTGATTTAAAAATGATTCCATTTCCACTTAAAAATGCTTCATCAATTACTATTTTAGATATATTATTCTCCAGAGCCTTAGTATACATAATAAATTCAGATATAGCCAAGCATATCCTTGAAAGATATTAAAATTATAACAAGAATTCAGAACTTTTTTTATAAATTGTAAATATGCACATTATACATAACATTAATTGAAACGTATTTTGGGTAGACTATCTGAAGGACACCCTCTGGCCATCATCTTCTCGGCAGTATGTTTTGTGCAAAATGTGATTTAGACTCAAATCATTTTATTAAGGAGATGGTTTAATTCCGAAGATGTACTATGTACACTGTCTACTTAGCCATGATATCAACTGATTGAACCAAAAGTTTAGGGTAACTACATTTAAAAAACAATCACTCAAGCATTTATGCTTGACATAGCTATTCCATTATTGGCCAAGTTTATCTCATTCCACTCTGGTTTAAAGGCAGACAAAAGTGATTAAAACCTAGGGATAAGCCCTAGAAAGGGATCAATTAACATTACTTTGTCTCTTTGTTAAATTAATTGAGGCTCTCCTTTCTAAGCTGGTCACTTGTTTAGACTTATAATTCTCTATCATCTATCATCTATCTATCTATCTATCTATCTATCTATCTATCTATCTATCTATCTATCATCTATTTTTTTCTTTCTAAAAGGAGATATAAGAAAATAATAAAAGAAGATTCTAAGAATCCTCAACTGTGGCTTTCAGGCACTGTTACTACATTCTATTAGATTCTATTAGATTCACTGGTAGGTTGTTACATTTTTTCCCCTTTGGAATTAAAATACAAATGTTTCTATTTTCAACAGAATCAGGATTATAGGATCCTGCAGTATTTTAAAAGGAATTTATGAACAAAAGATCTTAGAACTTGAAGCTATCATCCATAAGCATTGATTTATTTAAACCATTTTGATGGAATAGAATTGAAAGATTCACTCTGTTGATCTGTCAGCACAAAAATATAAAAGGGCCTCTTCAAACTAAAGTGGAATGGTTGGCAATATAGTCACAAAAGACTGAACTTCCGAATAAGATATAATATTTAAAATCTTTTTCTGAATGACTACTGATCAATTTGCCATTTTTTTGGTTTGTTTTGGGAATACATCTCTTCTTGAAATAATATATTTCATGGTCTTTGCCTCCAAGACAATAAAAAAAAAAACTTAACCTCAAAAGCACTACTTTTATTAGTGGTACGTAAGTTGAGAATAATCTAAGGAGTTTTTAATATCTTATGTATTTTTGTAGTTAATTTAAATTTACTTAAAAACCTTAGTATTGGGGAGCAGGTTGCAATTTTCTAGAAAGACTATCCCTGTGGCTGAAATTTGACATTAACTTTGAATTTAGGCAGTGTAGAGAGAAATGTTTAGTTTTTACTGTGTCCATATGCTTTTTTTATTTGACAATTGCTCCCGTTTACTGCTTTGTGAACACAAGAGGAGGCCCCGAACTGCAGCGACTGACCTTGCTTCCAGAGTCCTTGGGTCCACATTCACCTTTATCGTACCACCATTTGTTTTTCAGCTTGTCTAAGACGCCTGCCTCACTGAGTTTCAAAACGGCAAGGTTTACAGGAGTTCTTCACGTGGAAAATAACATAAATAACATTATATATGTTATTTTATGTTATTCAAGTAAAACTACATTAGAATCGCATGGCAAAGTGACAGAGCAGAGGCCACAGTAGGCGCTATGTCTTGTACCGTAGGCCCAGGTTTAGAATCAGACATAAAACTGGGGCCTGCTCCATCGCTTTAGGTAACAGGCACATACTGCTAGGGAGGATTTTTAAATAAAATGTATGCAATTACTGTGAATCCAAAACTATTGGCCTGGGTTGGGTTTCTTGAGCATTTCTAATTTCCCCGCACGGATATGGGAGTCATTCAAAATTCAGAGCTCCTTTTTGTCTCTTTCCAGAATTAATGGAAGTGGCTGCAGGTGACAGGCAGACTTAAATAGAAGCTGGATAGGCCTGGTTTCATCTCTCACCTGCATGTGATCAGCTAGAGGGATTTTAGTTTTCGCTGTAGAAGGATGTCTACAGTGTCCATCATTACACGGAGTCCTCCATCCCTCTCATCCAGGACCGAACTGAAAGAGGTGGGCGATTCAGTTGTTACTAGGGCCACCTCATGCAGGTTCTTATAAACACAGATATGTGAATCACTATTGTGAAGTATAAGCCCATGCTGATGTTTTCCTTCTGAACTTTAGTATTTATCTCACATAGCACCGCCAGAAGCAATTTTCGTCCATGTTGTGTCTGCCCCATTAATTAAGTACAAAGGGAAGTGACTACAGGGTACTTTACTAATTCTTACCAATAATCCCTGATCAGTTAGGGGTAAACAAGATTTTGCTCAATAAACAAACTCCCTGTACTGTAAAACCCACTTTTCTTTTCTACTATCTCGGAGTCCTTCAATACTAAATGTTTTAAAAGGAGTCTCAAGGAGGAAAGGGTCAGTCGTCAGTCATCACCAATGTTCCAAGGAAGCTAAGAATTCTTTCTGTTTTCATTCCCATGTTAACCTCTGTGTATACAAAATAAAGGGTAAAAATGGATGGGAAGCAGTAACTCCTAGCATCTTTTGTTACTGTTTTTTTTTTGGTGTTTTTGTGTGTGTGTGTGTGTGTGTGTTTTCATTTTATAAACATTCAGAGAGAGACTTGTATTCTTCTTGACATTTCTAAGGCTGCCACAACCATTTTGTCTGGCCGTATCTTCTAGTGCCTCTCTCCAAGGAAATGTTGAGTGCATTCAGAGAAACACAGCCTGTATTTCTCTGGTATCAGTAGATGAATTCCATAAGCCTATCTACAAAACTAGGTAATTTATTTATAATGATAATGATAGCTAAACATTTGTGGAGTACTTACTATGTACCAGGCATTGTTAAAAGCATTTTCCATACTTAATTATTATTATCATCTGCATTTTACAAGTGAGGAACAAAGGCACAGAGAAGTTAACTCATCTATTCACACAACTAGGAAGCAGAGGAACCGGATTTGTAATAGTCTGACTTCTTAGCTGTGCAATTAAAAGCATTAACAATGGGAGACTCAGAAAATGGGGTTTCTGGTTAATTGAGGATTCTGGTTAACAGTTAAACTAAAACCCATTTGTTTTGTCCTGCTGGTTCTCAAAAAATGTTTCTAAAATATGTCTTTCGTTTTGTTTATCTGATTTCTGAATACAATTTAATTTTTGTATGAATGTTATAAGATCTTACAAGGTTCATTGTTCCATTTAAGAAGTAATATGCATTTGCTACCTTCCTAGAATATTGTTTTTTGGATTAAAACCTAGCATAAGCATGATTTACACTTTCTACTAAAAGCTGAATTTGGGGTGAGGAGGGATGAGGTGGGGTGAGGGTTAGGTTACCTGGGTTGCTTGGTTAATTTAGCCCCAACCTAGGGGCTATCTATACAATCTCCCACTCCCCTCCACACTTTCCCCTTACTTCTCTTGATGAAGCGACTATTACAAAACTACATGTCAGGTTGGTTGGTGAATTGTGAACTCCTTGAAAACAAAAGCCACGTTTCATTCATCTGTGTAAAACAGTATTTACCAGGATATCCACTGAGAGTAAGTGCTCTATAACGTGGCTACATTCAAATTATTTTGAATCGAAACAAGCTTTTCCCTTTAATTGACACTATGAGAGGCTTGAGATTCCCAGGCCAGCTTGCCAAAGCCTTTTGAAACCTGTGTAGGTACATTATATTACCCCATATTACACTTTTTAAATAGGGTACAATGGGAGGAGGAGGACAATGCTGAAAAGAGAAAGAAAATGAACAGTTTCTAAATTTCTTTTAAAAGGGAAGGTTGAAGGCAAAATTGAGGATTAGATAAAGACTGCCTTAGGCCATCTCTCTCCTGTCTTAAAGTCTTAATTTTTCCTACCCCCTTCATTTTTCCCTTGCCTCTTTGTCCCTTCTGCTATTCACTCCAGTGGTCTGGTTTTAGAGGTAAGATTGGGATTGTGAATATAAGATACTTACTATTAATCAAACTTGACGGTCAACTGGTGGAATGTAAGGCACTTAGCAAGTAATTCATAACTGGGATATCCCTTCTCCAAGGGTTAGCTTCTCTTAGTGTTTTTTTTTTTTTTTTTTACCACAACCTTTTCCCGCCTACTTATGAATTCATATTTTCCATAATAATCCCTTTATTCTTGCATTGGTTTCCATGGCTGTGGTGAAGGGAAGTAGGCCATTTATGAGTATAAACTATCTTGAAGTCAGGAATGGGCTTTTATTTTCAAAGGGCTAAATTAAAAACTGGGTATTATGTGATCTAATTTAATTCCTGAAGGACACAATATTTGTTTTTTACAAAATGATTTTTAAGTGAACATCCTCATCCATGAGTGTGCCTATTTTGATATACATAGAAGGAAAGGAAAGTATAAAACAGAAAAAAATCAATAGTTTTAGTGGATGATTACAGGCATTTCCCAAAATTTCCATCTAGGACCAGGATTAAATAACCACTAAGAATTGGCATAAATTTCTGCATACGGTTTGTGCTCAGGCTAAACCACACCAGATTAGTCAAAGGGGAAAATGAGTTTTAGAGATTGCAATGATATTCTTAAATTGGTCCCCTGTTAGTTTATTCCCAAGATGTGTATGCCTGCTCAGAACTTCATGCTCTGGGAATGTCGAGCAGCAAAACGGTGATGCTAATTATTTTGCAGCCAAGGGATGTGACTGGAAGTGGCCACAGTGACTAATAGTTCAGTTGTTGGTTATATTAAATCATAAGTTCCTTGAAGGAAAAAAATAGTGGGTAATTCTCTTTCCCCCCACAGATACTGGTTCCATGACCCAGTTAAATCAGAGGTTTCATAATTTTCTGCTGAATAGAAGGCTGGACATATTCTCCCTGATTGCAATCCTCAATTGTCTCTTCCTGGGAACGTATTTGTGTGGGGGACAGCTTCCCAGGGTTCCCCCTTAGTTTTTGCCTACCAAGATTCGGTATTGGGAAGGTAACACCGATTTCCGCGTGCTTGGGCTGAGATCCCTGAGTGTGAGTTTTCCCTACAGTTTTTCGTTGGCTCCTCTGTTTGGATTTACACTCAGCAAAGGCTCCGGATCTACCTTCAGTCTCCAAGTCAGCACTTTTGCTCCTCATTTTACCACTTTTGAGGAAGATCAGGCTAAATGGGAGGCGCAAGGTAAGTCTAAAAAGAAAATCCGTCACCTGATGAAGGTACGAAACAAAAATGAAAAAGCAACAACTGCTCTTGGTAATTTACTTTGAACTACGTGAGGTCAAGCAGACATATAAATATCACCTTTTGTTACAAATTCAGAGTTGGGCATTATTAACATTAGATTGCAATCACCTATTCTCTTGATGATAAATATTATGTCAATATACAACCGACCAGGAATGTTTTTTAGTATGAAAACAAAATTCCTGAGGGAAAATAGAACATAATGCAATTTCATTTTGGGGGAACATTTTAGGTTAATTTTTCATAACAATTTAGAAAATTACTTGTTAAGATTTGAAATAATGTTTTAGAATACCATTTTGTAGTTCATGTTTATTGGAAATAATGTACTGAATACCTATGAGAACAAGCAGTTTGATTTTTGAAAATTACAAGGTTAGATTCAGATTTATTTCTTTGTACAACAAATATTTACTTTGTGTCCATTATGTACCAAACAATGTGTTGGATGCAAACAGATTAAAGTCCAACTGAGTTGTCCAACCTTGTTTAAATAAATTAAAATGGCTTTGTTACACAGATTTTTTCATTATGTGTAAATTTCTGCTTTTGCTTGCTTATTTCATCTTTTCCTGGAAAGAGTTTAATGTATACTAAAATAGGACCTCATTCTTTTTTTTGGAAAATTTTATCCGATAAGCAGTGTTACACTTCTTTTCTATTTGTGATAAAAAATGAATTTTGCAAATAAAATTTCTCTAATGGAATAGAATATGATTGTTTTTATTTTCTTTGGAGCTATGAGAGCATACTTTCATACATTTCTAATTTGCAAGAAGGAATAGTAGATTATTAGTGTAAACTGGAGTAATTCTCTCTCTCTCTCTCTCTCTCTCTCTCTCTCTCTCTCCCCCAAAATGTATACACACTTTGATTAATTATAAAGGCAGTGTTTATTAAAATACATTTCAAAAAGTAATAGAATCTACAAAGTATGTATATATTTTTTGGGGACACCATACATGTATATGTACATATAGATTGTATGGAAACGGTCAGAACATTCTAGGCAAGTTAGGGCTCCAAAATGTAAAAAGAATTAATGCTCCTTAAGAAAACATGGCTGGTGCCTCAGATGGAGGTGCCCTGAAGGGGGCCATCCCAAAGGAAGCCCTAAGCCCTCTCTCTGGCCATTCTCTGCTCTGTTCTCCAGGAACTCAGATTCTCTCTCGGGATAGGAGATGGATGACCAGGATTGGGTCCACGCAATTCTGTTGTTTCTCTCTCTTTCATGCTTCCCTCTGTGGCCAGAATATTCATATGGTAACCCGCAGAAGGGCTGGTTATTAGATGGGGATGTACAAGTGAGCTGGATTCGAAGGGCTCTTCAGATTGGGAGTGAGGGGCAAGTTTGCAGCATTGAAAGAGGGTGAAGTTATCAGCCATCTGACAGATACCCACTAAAAACAGCATCTTTTTGTGGGTTGGGTGGCCGAGCAAGAGGATTTAGAGTCCAATCAGGAACCTGAAGAGAAGCAGGACTTCTTATTTTGGACAATTCTCTAGATTTTAAAAGGCAGGCAAGACTGTATACTTCTAAATTTCCAATATTCTTATACACCAACTGTAGGAATGTAACAAAGGAAATTCAGTCAGAAGAGTCCCATCTCTGGACCACTTTCTTTAAGTCTATACATAGTGAAGAAGGGTTCTGGGACACTAGGTAGTATATTCTGTTAATTGTATACCTATTTTTTCTTTAGACACTGTTTAGAAATTTAATAAACATTATTTTATGAAGCTGGACATATGCCATGGAGGCAGGGAAAATAAGCTGAACTGGTCTTGTGTGTGGAGTCTGCTCATTTTGTAGTTTGATCCATTTATGGGAAGCCAAACATTTCTGGTTCACATGACTATCTTTGATTTATCATTTAACTTAATACTTATTGGAAGCCTGTGGGGTTTAGACAGAGAAATGATTTCCTGGTAAATACATAGATCTAGGTGGAGTTACTGCTGTTACTGAAAAACATTGCGTAGAACTTCTGGTGAACAAGAAAGATATACCCTCTCTTCTCTTCGCCAAATCGTTCTTCCAAAAACCAGCATTCCCTCCTGCCCCCCCAAACCACGGTGTATAGAACTATAATATTCGATCCCAACTGCTTCAGAGCCAGAGATTTCCAGTGACTATTTTAGTTCGGTTTGTTAGTGTGTTCCCACATTGGTAACGTTTGCAAATATTTTTGCTTTGACAGTAATTGCATACTTCAGTTGTGAAGGGGCTTGACTAGCAATGCTGATGGCATTAGCAGGTCCACACTGCGAGTCTCCCAGCAGATGCACCTATTACTTTACATACTGTTTACCCGCTTTTGGTGACATCGAGGCTAACCTTGGAGTCACCTCCCCCGCTGCCACATTCTCCTTTGTCGTACCACCATTTGTTTTTCAATTTGTCCAAGAGGCCTTGTTCATTCAGTTTTAAAACTGCGAGGTTAACAGCATTTCTTGAAACGATAAAACATATTTTGTAAGAAACTGCACAGCTGTTAAGATGTTAGAAGGGATGAGGACTTAAGCTCTTTTATAAGCTTCTCCCAGACGCTAAATAAACCTCTCATTTTGCCATTCCGCAGCCCCTTCCATCAGTTCAAACCAAAGGCAATTGTTAACTATTTCCAAACTGTATTAGACATGTGGTATTTAGTGCTGTTCACTTTCACAGTTCATTTATTGTCAAATAACCGACATCATCATCATCATCAACCAGTTACATGGATTGTTTTTCAAAACGGTAATAACTTGAATTTACTAGTAATTGAGAAAGAAGTGTGTCTTGAATTCCTTTGCTGAGAATGTGAATGATCTAAAAGAGACTGAAATGAAAATTCATTCCCAGAAGGAAGAGCATAATGGAATAAACAAACCAACAAATAGCCACTAATTTTTGTCTACTGATTTACTGACAACAGAGTGTGACTTGTTATTCCTCTTCTATTTGTGGGAGTTTGGTTTGTTTGCTTGATTTAGCTGGTCTCAGAATCTAGGATTTCCATGTTTGGTTTAGTTTTTGGGCTGGAAGTCAAGAGAAAGGTAATAGCAGCTTTTAGTGAAAAAGCTGTTATATTTGAATCTTGTATTGATTCCTTTTTTTTTAAAATCTTGTATTGATTCTTAAAGGCATTGGATGCTATTTAGAAGTTCAAAGCCAATTTGACTGTTTAAATTAAGTTACTAAACTCTAAAGGTCATGCTGCATATGATGTGGACATGGAAAAAACACACCACTCTACATTAGATTTTCTCCATGCTAATCTCTACGGGGGAATAGAGGTAGCATATCCTAATTATTCTCTAAAAAGGATTTATGAAAAAATTTCATAGGCTCTTTCTTCCCATGCATTTGGTTGCTTTCTTGCTTTCAAGTTACAGTTTTTAAATAAGCTCTCTCTTTCAAGAGGTTTCCCCAGCCCTGAATGTAATTTCTGTTAAATCTAGAGAATGGCTTAGATACTGAGAGAATATGGGTATAGTCTGTGCTATGCTTATTGGATAAATACTGAGTTTGGAGGTCACTTAATGCCAAATGAATTAATAAAATAAAACCAAACAACCCCATATTAATGAGTAGCACTTGAAACGGATCATTCAGTTGACAAATAAAAAGTGTTGCTTGTTTCACTATGAATTGGCCTACTAAAGTGTTTGTTCTCTTAAAATGTGTTTGTAATATTTCAGGTAGTTGATGCTCACTTTCCATGATGTTCATGCTGTGATGGTCTGATCCACCTGGAGAGGAAACCACAGCTTGAGAGCGTTAGCTGTTTTTAAGGGTTAGACTGCCATTTACTAAGTGTTAACTCAATAATTAGCTTCCTCACATTCCCAAGTACGTGCCACATTAGTGGTGTAAAATAATCAATATACTTCTTAAAGTAAACAGTATCAGGTTTTTAGCTTAATCACCAGAAGGACCAGACTGAAATGTAGGCTGAATATTCAATGATGATAGAGACATCTGTTTTGTTTTTAAAATGCTGCAAATAAGTTGTTTTATTTTGTGTCCACAAGAAACTAAATTTGTCTTTCAGTGATTTAAACCTAACTGCTATTTTTTTTTTGGAGAAAATTGTTTTTATGATCCACCTTTTTTAGCCTTAAATATTCATATTAGATTAAAAAAAAATAAAGTAGCATCCCAATTATTTTATGTGTTGGTTTAGACCATTCTTTTGAAAAACTAAAGTCATTTCATGAGAGGGTTATTTAACAGGGTTATTAGCCATATCCAAAGACAGTTTCACAGCACAATAGAAAACAAAACAAAACAAAACAAAACAAAAAAGGAATGGATAAGGAAAAAGAGCTTTACATTGAGAAAATTGTTTGGAATAAGCTTCCTACAAAATTATTCTAAAAATTGTATTTCTTATGTCATCTAATAGGCCATGTAAAAACAGTTTAGTTTCACACTGCTATCCACATATGCGTGTATATGTATCTATAGTTATTTAATATAATATACTTGACCAATAAATAACTCACTGCCCAGTTCACAATTCATTCACATGTTTTCCTTCCAGAAACATGTGGTCCCTCAGTAAAGTCCACTTTATCCTATCATATGTAAAATTAATTTTTCTTTAGTGGTGTATAGAAGGCATTTTGTAATTAATATTTAGAGATAGTCTTCAGGGTTTCAAGATTTCCTTGCTTGTTAAAACTGCCTGTTTTCTACAATTTTCTTTATACAGTTTAGGTCTAACAGCCTCTTAAAATTGCTATTAACTGCAGCATAAACCACATATGTAAGCATCATTTGAACATGTGTTCTATTTTATGGAATGGATTGCTTTGACATGTTATTAATGATAAGAATCAGCAAATGGCTTTACAATATATATAAAATTATTTCATTCAGTTTGCTAGAATAACTTTTAAAAAGTGTTCTTTACCCAAGCAAAAAGGAACAGGAACTCTGAAGGAGTAGTTCTAAGCAAGATTAAGGCAGCTATAAGGGGTCAGGTAAATGAGGGACATAGAAGGTAGATCCCTGCATTTCATACATAGTTTTCAGAAACATATTGAAAAGAAGGGAAGAAGTTCTCCTCATTAAGCATCAGAGAAGCTGTAATAGTGATCTGCTAAGCTGATAAGAGATAAAAGAAAAATATTATGGGTTCTTTCTTACATTAATTATTCCTTTTATTCTATTAAATGCAGTGTTTCCAGAGTAAAAATCAATTGAAACATATTGTTTTCAATTAATATTTGAAGAGAGGAAAAAACAAGTGACCACATTATTGCGGGATGTTTAAGCCACATTTAAGAGGCCAGGTGTATTGACAATGACTTTTATAGATTGAAGAAAGGCCCAGGTCACTTACTTGCCTTTGTCTTTCATGCGTTAGGAGAATTCTAGGTTAAAAAACAACAACCCTATTTAACTTTCCCCATAGTTCTGAGGTGATGGAGAACTTGATTCAGGGGTGGAAAGAAAATGCTCGCCTGGACAAATTCCAGGCTTCTGGAAAACTTTGAAGGATTTTTAGTCCTAAAATTTTCTTCAATTGAGTTTGCGATCATTAAAATCCATACCTCATTGGAAACCATTTTTGTTATCAAAAATCTGATGGAAATATCACATATAATGAAAGTTTTGGGATGGGACCTAATAGACCTAACTTTTTCCACTTATTGATTTTGAGTAAATTAATTAGTGCAAAGTAAGATATTCTTATTATAGGCATGCTTAAGTCAGGCTAAAATATTTACCTCTTACTCGCTACCTTTTCAGAGTAACTTAACACTAAAGTCTATAGATGTGATCATGCTTTTATGCTTACTTTAGGCCTTAATCATTATATTTACTTCTAGACCATATTTATTAGAGTGTAATTTTTATGTTGCTGAGGTTTTAAAGTTTACACTTAATAAAATGTCTGCAGAAGTAGATAGAAAGCATTTTAAAAGTTTAAGTTTGGTAAAGTATTTTTATGATTTCCAGGATTTGTAAATATATTATTGTAAAGGACTGATATAAAAGCGCTAGATTTAGTCAATGTCTGCACACAGAATATGTAGGGCACGTATAGTTTGTAGAATAAATAATTTGCAATATTGCATTGAGTCTGGTTAAAACAAATTTAACATTTCATTGCTGGTAAGGATGTCAATAACGTATGGATCTAATCCAGCGTAGCTGTTTAAACTACTGTTTAATTTTGCTAGTGCTTTTTTATCCTTATAAGAAAGAATCCATTAGTTAAATAAACATGAGAAAGTCCCCTCAGTCTTAGTCCTGTGCTGTCTTAATTGGAGTGTTCTTTTCATACTAAACTCTTTATAACATTTAAATATCAGGTACTAAAATATCCAGAATATTTTCCTGAATGATGCTGTTTTTTTCATAGTCCCCAATGAATCTTAATATATTTTTAAATGCTTAAAAATTGTGTGAATAACAAGAAATTGTGTAAAAAAAGGAAATACTTTAAAATCAGCAAAGGACATTGGTAGATAATTCACACAAAAAGAAATACAAATCATATAAAAATAATCCAACCTTACTTGGAATTAAATTAATGTAAATTAAAACAATGAAAATTCATTTTTTGTCATTTATGTTGGAAAAGATAAAAGTAAATATAATGTTCAATATAATCAATAATTTAATAAGATGGGTGTCTTCCAATTAAAATTGGAAAGAAATAATATGACCTTATATAATAAAAGGTTAAAAACAGTTCTTATCCTTGATAATCATTGATAATAATTCCCCTTTAAGGAATTATTCCTAAAAAATTAGTCAATGATGTTGATAAAGTAACATAGGCATTGTACATTTACATGGCAAAACATTGCAAACAATTGACATGCCCAACAGGAGGAGAGAACTAATTAGATTTTGGTGCATAATAGTGGTCCTCAATCTTGAAATGAGTAGTAGAACCACTTATTACAAATACAGATGCTCAGGCCTTACCACGCCCAATCAAATTCTTCTGAATTGGGAGCAGTGTTTTGACATTTTTTACAGAGCTCCCCAGGTGGTAGTATTGATGAGCACCAATGATCCTTATGACCGAATGTTATACAACTATTAAAAGCTTTTAAAAACAAGAAAAAAATGCTTATAGTATAATAAGTGAAAAAGAAATAAATTTGTACATTCATTGTGATTTTAATATGTGAATAAAATGTTATATGTATTAATGGAAAACTATAGCTATGGAGAAATTATAATTAATTTGGATTGCATTTTGGTCTTTAAGTTTCTCCACCCACTCAACATTTTTTTTTACAATGAGAAGTGATACTATAATAATCACTAAAAAACAAAACCCCTCTCAATTATTTTATAATATAATGACTAATACAATTGTTTTTATGCAACCCAAAATATGTATTTTATTTTGGGTCAAAAAACTGAGGAAGAGGTAGAATTTAGGAATTATTCTTTTTTTTTTTTTTAGGAATTATTCTTAAGAATCTCAGAAAAACATTC